GATTCCCGGATCCGGCCCCCAGGCCTTAGTTTGCCTACCCCTGATCTAGTCCAACTGCCTGCAATGCAGGAATACGCAGCTGTCCATTTCCATTTCCAGCTGCGAAATGTAAATTTAAAGAGGGTGAACTTTTCCACATGTGGTGGGACATGCAAAAAAAAAAGAAAAACTTTTGGGATTTGATATATAACGAAATGAAAAAACTGTTTAAATATACATTCCCAAAGAAACCAGAGGCTTTCTTACTAGGGATAATAGGAGATGAAGTAAGAAAAGAGGATTGTAAGTTATTTACGTATGCTACAACCGCCGCTAGGTTTCTCGTGGCCCAGAAATGGAAAACCCAGGAGATCCCAATGTTAATGGAGCGGCAGATGAAAATGTTTGAATATGTTGAGTTGGCGAAAATGACTAATAAGATTAGATACCAAAAAGTAACAAAGTTTGAAGAGGAGTGGAGTAAATTTGTTGTGTATATAGGGAATAACTGTAGAAGCTTAAAAACTGTAGCAAGGTTAACATGATGATGATGATAATAATAATAATAATGATAATAATAATAATAATAATAATAATAATAATAATAATTTATTATTTATACCCCGCCCATCTGGCTGGGCTTCCCCAGCCACTCTGGGCGGCTTACAAAAAAAATATTAAAATACTGTAATACATCAAACATTAAAAGCTTCCCTAAACAGGGCAGCCTTCAGATGTCTTCTAAAAGTTGTTGTTGTCTTTGACATCTGGTGGGAGGGCGTTCCACAAGGCGGGTGCCACTACTGAGAAGGCTCTCTGCCTGGTTCCCTGTAACTTGGTTTCTCACAGAGAGGGAACCGCCAGAAGAACTTAAATCTTGTGATGTGGATGGAGTGTAAATAAGAATCTGTATGAGTGGATGTTAATTTGGGAAAAGCCAAAGCAGGGAAGGAAGGAAGTCCGAGCGCGACAAAGCGCAAGGTAAATAAGAAAACATTAAGATGCTGAATGTAAGAGTATTGGGGGGCGGAGGAATACGCAGCTGTCCCATACGGGGATCAAACCTGCAACCTTGGTCTAAGCAACTGATGGATGGAGCTGATGTGAGTTGCTGTTCAGCAACATTTGAGGGCCACCGGGTTCCCTACCCCTCTGTCTTAAAGAGTCTCCTCTGAACTCCTCAGAGGAAAGACCGAGCACACAAGCGCATGTGCGCGCATTCAGGGGAGAGGAATAATGCTCTTTCCAAGGGCATCTCCCTGTCCTGCTATTCTCCCCCCCCCCTTGGGAGCTGTGTGAATTCGTGGCCAGATCAAAACGAAGCCCTTCTGTGTGTGTGGTTTGCATTTTCCCGTATGGCAGATAGCAGGGAGGCCATTAACAGAATTAGCCGCAAGCCGGCTGCCCTGCCAGCACATCAGGTTTACCAGCATTCTTAAGCTTGCGCCTGAATAATAAAGGTAGCCGGTGTGGTCTGCAGCCTCTTAAACATTCCTTGTGTTTTCGTTTTATTAGCATAACCCCTGTTAGCCTGGAAGAAAGAAAAAAGGCACCCCCAAAGACTTACCAGCAAGTTGCAATGTTCTCTATTTAACACCGAATTGGACTCCAGGGAGCATGAAGGACGTTTTGGCAAGAGGGTAGGGGTTGGGGGTGAGGCTGAAGGAAGGAGCTTTAAAGCATTTTACAAGAGGGGCCTGCTAAACTGCAAAACTACCTGGTATCTAAGTGGCGGTTGAGGCTGCGCCTGTCGCTCTCAGAAAGGGCTCAGGCATACGCTGGTACCCACCACCGTGAAGTCAGACTTAACCTGCATGAGAAAATCCCCAACTGAGTCCAACTTTCTGTTTCTGATGGTGGGTGCTTTCAGGAAGGCCACAAGCCACCCTCCAAGCGTCCTGATCTTCCTGGGGACAGTCCAGAATTACAAGAGCAATCCCGGCTTCCAATTTGATCCTGCAATATCCCCATTTCCCTGTTGCCAGTGCTGCCGCCATCGAACTCAGAGAGGAGTATGAGCTGGCGCTTGTTCCGAGCATCAGGGGTGAGGGAACGTCTTCTTGCCTCTCCATGGCTGCTGCTGCCAGCCTCCTTCTCGTGGGCAGCTTGTAGCAGCTCTGGAGAACAGGCGAGGAGGAGGTGAGGTTGCCACGACTGCCAAGGCCCAGCCCTGCATGGTGTGCCAGCTCTGAGGGGCAGGCAGAGGGCAGGGCTGCGCTGGATGGGAAGAAAAGGGGAGCAGAGTGGAGCACAAAAATTCTTGGGGAGGGGAACCACTCTGCGTCCATCTAGTAAAGGTAAAGGGACCCCTGACCATTAGGTCCAGTCATGACCGACTCTGGGGTTGTGGCGCTAATTTCGATTTATTGGCCGAGGGAGCTGGCATACAGATTCCGGGTGATGTGGCCAGCATGACTAAGCCGCTTCTGGTGAACTAGAGCAGTGCACGGAAATGCCGTTTACCTTCCCGCCGGAGTGGTACCTATTTATCTACTTTTACTTTGACGTGTTTTCAAACTGCTAGGTTGACAGGAGCAGGGACCGAGCAACAGGAGCTCACCCCGCCGTGGGGATTCGAACTGTCGACCTTCTGATCGGCAAGTCCTAGGCTCTGTGGTTTAACCCACAGTGCCACCCGCATCCCACTTGCATCCATCTAACCAAGAGCAAAAGGCTCCCTCTCAAAAAAGCTAGCAGGTCAGGGAAGAGAACAACACTTCTCCCAAGCCTGTGAGATTGTGGGGAGGGTATTTGGTCATACAACCATCCAGTGGTATTGTAGAGCGCAGCCCCTGATGACTATAATCATGGTAAAGGTAAAGAGACCCCTGACCATTAAGTCCAGTCACGGACGACTCTGGGGTTGCGGAGCTCATCTCGCTTTACTGGCCAAGGGAGCCAGCGTTTGTCCACAGACAGCTGGTCATGTGGCCAGCATGACTAAGCCACTTCTTGCAAAACCAGAGCAGCGCATGGAAATGCCGTTCACCTTCCCACCAGAGCGGTACCTATTTATCTACTTGCACTTCGTGCTTTCGAACTGCTAGGTTGGCAGGAGCAGGGACTGAGCAACGGGAGCTCACCCCGTCGCGGGGATTCGAATCGCCAACCTTCTGATCGGCAAGCCCTAGGCTCTGTGGTTTAGAACACAGCGCCACCCGCGTCCCTATAATCATGGTACCTTTTCTGAATTAAAGCTGGAACAAAGCATTCAGAGATGCAGCGGGCAACCTCGTCGGTGCACGGATATGCTGAGCTCACAAGAGCTTCAGATCATGCAACTCATTCATTCATCCACCTGCTCTGACTTTAATCCTTCTAGTTAGAGAACAACTAGCTCAGGGCCAAACTACACCTGCCGTTAAACACAAAGCTTTTGCATCACATTTTAATGTCACTTTCATGTTTTTCCTTATCGTTTAATTTATGCATCACTTCCTGCGAAGCACCTTGAGGTGGGAGGCTGCCCTGCTCCGCTCCGCTCCTCTCTCCCAACTAACCTCCATCACCTGGGCTCACTCTGTAATGTGACATCATTAGGCCTGGGTCCTGAAACATCAGGGGCTGGAAGTATCTAGGGACAGTCCCGAATTTACAGAAGCCATCCAGGTTTCTGGTTTGATCTCGGAATGTCCTGCTTTTCTTTAGGATGTCCCTATTTTCGGCTGATCGCCAAAGAATTGATGCTTTTGAATTATGGTGCTGGAGGAGACTCTTGAGAGTCCCATGGACTGCAAGAAGAACAAACCTATCCATTCTGAAGGAAATCAGCCCTGAGTGCTCACTGGAAGGACAGATCCTGAAGCTGAGGCTCCAATACTTTGGCCACCTCATGAGAAGACAAGACTCCCTGGAAAAGACCCTGATACTGGGAAAGATGGAGGGCACAAGTAGAAGGGGGCGACAGAGGACGAGATGGTTGGACAGTGTTCTCGAAGCTACCAGAATGAGTTTGACCAAACTGCGGGAGGCAGTGGAAGACAGGAGTGCCTGGCGTGCTCTGATCCATGGGGTCACGAAGAGTCCGACACGACTAAATGACTAAACAACAACATTTTCATCAGAGGGTATGGAGTTATGCAACCCCTGAGCCAAGGAGATAAATCACTATACAACCTTTAGCAGAAATCTGAAAGCAGCCCTGCATAGGGAAGTTTTTAAAAATGTTTGAAGTTTTTGTTCATGTTTTTTTATATGTTTGAAGCATGCCCAGACAGTGGCTGGGGTGACCAGTCAGATGGGTGGGGTATTAACATTACATGGTACTCAGTTAAAATTAATTGTTCGATTATTTTAACCTGAAATATTACCTGAAGCACCACTTACTAATGGGGCCTCCGGCGCTGCCACCTGCCGAATTCTGTTCTCATCTGAGCAAGAGTCTAACCTGAGTATTTCTGGGTTAGCAGGTCTTAATGAGTGTCTGTAACCTGAAGCGTATGTACAAGTACCACTGTTGTTTTTATTATTATTTATTATTATTATTATTATTAGTATGTCTATTTCATTGAGAATGGGTGTAGTTCTCCTTTGATAAAAGTTAGAGGCTTAATGCAACTAATTCCATTTTAAACTGCAACACACCAATGTGGAAAGGATAAAATAAGATCAGAGCAGGAGAGGGTTATTGAGAGGTAGTAGAACGCAACATGTGTTTGTTCGACTCTTAAACTAATTAAAAACACGTGCAGGCGGTCCTTTTCCTGACATTACTTTGCTTAAAATTAGACTGATCAATTCCTGCCGCCTGACCTCATGGGCCAAGTGTTTCCGAGTGAATTTACCTGTTGAGGTGCCAGTAACATTAATAGAAGCTGGAGCAAGGAATAACTGGGCACTTCACTTCCCTCATCTCATCACAAACACATCCCTCTGGCTCTTAACCCTCCACAGATTATCTTGCACTCCGAAGGGCTTTGACGTCCCTTGTGCCAAAGGGGGCGGGGAGAATGATGCCAGCTACAGAGGACATACCCTGGCAAGTAAATTGTTTACCACTTGTGGGTCTCCTTCTGCAGAGGCCTCCCAGAATGGACCCTTTTGCCTCCAGGCCTTCCCCGCAATCTTGTGACTCTTCCCTCTGCCACCCGCAGCTTTGAAAACTTTGGTCTTTGCTTCCCTGCAAGTAAGTTTGGCAAGCGGGATGTGGGTGGCGCTGTGGGTTAAACCACAGAGCCTAGGGCTTGCCGATCAGAAGGTTGGCGGTTCGAATCCCCAGGACGGGGTGAGCTCCCGTTGCTCGGTCCCTGCTCCTGCCCACCTAGCAGTTTGAAAGCACATCAAAGTGCAAGTAGATAAATAGGTACCACTCTGGCGGGAAGGTAAACGGTGTTTCCGTGCGCTGCTCTGGTTCACCAGAAGCGGCTTAGTCATGCTGGCCACATGTTGTACGCTGGGTCCCTCGGTTAATAAAGCAAGATGAGCTCCGCAACCCCGGAGTCGTCTGCAACTGGACCTAATTGTTATGTACTGAAGTTCTCACCCTGGGCCAGCAGGGGGATACTGTAGATAGTTATGCAAATAAGGGATCGAAAGTGATGTTCAGTGATTGGATAGTTTTGGGAAATTGTTACAGTTACGTTGTACTGGAGCTCTATATAAGCAGGCTGACTGAACCCTTCAGTTCAGTTCTGTCCTGGCCTGTGAATAAACAAGAGCTGTTTGAAGAATCACTGTGTCGTCTGATATGTTCACCCACAACTTAACACTAATGGTCAGGGGTCCTTTACCTTTACCTTTAAGCTTGGCGAGCACCAGCCTACTGCAGACTTGAAGCGAATCCCTTTCGCAGCAATCCTCTCTCTGCAAGCCTTGCAGGACCTCAGCGTAAGGAGGCGGCCTTGCTAGACATCGGCTGCTAAATGACCCCTTATTTAACGGGGTTCAAGAGCAACCTCAGCTTGAGCAGGACATAGGAAGGGGGGAAATGGGGTGGGAGAGAAATGAAAAGAACTGTCTGTCTAGTGTGGCACTTCTCTCAAGCTTGATCTGGGAGCTGCAGTTCGTGCTGAATGATGCAGCACAATTGCTGAGGGAACTCTGGAACTCCCTGCCTATTGACATGAGGCAGCCTCCTTCACTATGCTGTTTTCGGTGCCGGCTTAAAACATTTTCATTTCGGCAAGCCTTCCAAGACTAGTAGAATGCTGGCATATGTTTCAGTCTGCTTTTAGTTTATTGCCGATTTTATCTTCTGAATGTTTCAAAGAATTGCTTTCGCTGGTAGTTTCATTCTTTTGTTCTCTTTGAAAACAGCTTTGAGGGTGGTTTTCTTTTTTCCAATCAAGCAGTGTATGAATTTTATGAATCAAGTAATAAAATAAATTACGGCTTCACAGGCCAGATTGCAGACCCTCCAAGCGTTCCTATTTTCCAGGGATGTCCCTGATTTAGAGAAGCCGTCCAGGTTTCTGATTTGATCCTGGAATGTCCCACTTTTCCTTAGGACGTCCCTATTTTCACTGGAGAAATGTTGGAAGGTATGGAGTTATCTGACTCCCGAGCCGTCCGAATGCAATCCTGTATAAGGAAAGGGTTTTTTTTAATGTTTAATGTTTTATTATGTTTTTATATATGTTGGAAGGGACCCGAGTGGGCACTGTGGGTTAAACCACAGAAACTAGGACTTGCCGACCAGAAGGTCAGCGGTTCGAATCCCCGCAACGGGGTGAGCTCCCGCTGCTCGGTCCCTGCTCCTGCCAACCTAGCAGTTCGAAAGCACGTCAAAGTGAAAGTAGATAAATAGGTACCAGTCTGGGGGGAAGGTAAATGGCGTTTCCGTGTGCTGCTCTGGTTCACCAGAAGCGGCTTAGTCATGCTGGCCACATGACCTGGAAGCTGTGCACCGGCTCCCTCAGCCAATAAAGCGAGATGAGCGCCGCAACCCCAGAGTCGGCCACGACTGGACCTAATGGTCAGGGGTCCCTTTACCTTTATATATGTTGGAAGCCTCCCAGAGTGGCTGGGGCAACCCAGTAACATGTGTGGTGTATAAATAGAAAAATTATTATTATGGAATGGGACGTCCCTATTTTCATTGGAGAAACGTTGGAGGGTATATTGAAGGAGTGTGGAGAGTCTTGGACCTATAGCAGGTGCTGCGACAGGATTGGTCCTCTAAGACCACCTGATTTGGAAGACCAGGAAGATTGCGGTCTTCATTATTCGCACCACAATCTGAGCAGTTTACAGCGATGTCCTCCGGCCACTGGCCTAGCAGAGAAGAGCACAATTTTGGGGGATTTTGGCTGGGCCACGATGCCCAAAGTATTGAGGAGCAAAAGGGAGGGACCCCGCATCTTGCCTTACTTGTGCAAACTCGGCTGGCCAAACTCTGAGCTCGGTGGCTGGCGGGGCCTGACTCTGCATAGCAATTCCTAATGTTCTTAAATGCAAATCTGTCCTATATTTTCCCGGGGCAGCTCGGCTGCTTCTGCCTTGCCTGCCTCGGTTACCTCACTGCCCTGTTTTTAGCTCCTGAGGACTGTGCACTCTGGATGGCCTGGGACGAATTTACGAAGCCCATATCTGTATATGGGATAAACGGTAGTAACTGGTCCAGAATTTTCCCCCTTCCAGCCAGAAGCCGGAGCATAAATCTTTGAAATATGTGTTGAGCCAGCTGCCGCATCATTTAAAAATAGTTAACTTGGTGCCAATAAGACAGATCACTCAACATGGGGGCCGTAAAGAGAAAATCAAAGGCATGTGCTTGTGCCCTGACGGAGGCAAAGCCTTCCAACCCCCCCCCAACCCCATTGCAACCAGCCCCCTCCTGCTGAATACTTTACAGTGTTACACACACACACACACCCCCCGAGGAATTGTCTGCTGTCAAACATTGATTTCTCCCTGCCCAGGAGGGCACAGACAGCTTCATGTTGCACTGAAGTCTGGTGGCATCCGTCCCAATCCCTTTTGTCTGACATTATCCAGTCTCCTCTACAGCTTAACAAAGGCAGGAAAGCGGTTTTCTTCTCCCACGTATTAACAAAACATATTATGAAGAATTTTTCTGACAGTAAGAGCTGTTCGACAGTGGAATGGTCTCCCTTGGGTGGCGGTGGGCTCTCCTTCCATGGAGAGTACTTTTAAGCAGAGGTTGGATGGCCATCTGTCATGGGTGCTTTGGCTGAGATTCCTGCTTTGCAGGGGGTTGGACTAGATGACCCTTGGGTCCCCTCCAGCTCTAAGATTCTACAATTCTGTGTAATGTAATAATAATGTAATGTTCTGTGTAATGCAATAATAATAATAATAATAATAATAATAATAATAATAATAATAATAATTTATACCCCACCCATCTGGCTGGGTTTCCCAGAATATTAAAATACAATAATCTATTAAACATTAAAGCTTCCCTAAACAGGACTGCCTTCAGATGTCTTCTAAATGTCAGGTAGTTGTTTATCTCTTTGACATCTGGCGGGAGGGCGTTCCACAGGGCGGGTGCCACTACCGAGAAGGCCCTCTGCCTGGTTCCCTGTGACTTGGCTTCTCGAAGCGAGGGAACCACCAGAAGGCCCTCGGCGCTGGACCTCAGTGTCTGGGTAGAATGTTGGGGGTGGAGACGCTCCTTCAGGAGCGTACAAAAACTTACAAAATAATAATAATACTGAGGAGGAGGAGGATTAGTAATTATCATATTAACATAAGGTGAGCCTTGCTCCCAGTGGTGAACTTAGAACCTAGCCACTGCAGCTAGTAGCCTTGTGCTTCCTTAATACATCATATTTTTATGTAGCCACATAAACTATTTGCCATAAGGAAAGAGGGGGGAACTCCCACATGATATTCATGCAAACTAAACTGCAATAATAATTATTCTATCTATTCCCCCAAAGTAATTTGGCTGATTGTGTCTTGCACCTTATTATTCCAATATTTTATAAATAACGTTTTGACAAATGTGTTCCATCTTCTTGGCATATAAGCTAAATTCCCAAATTCTTAATAAAAATATATATATATTGTGGCTGCCCCCTTCCCCATCACAATTCCTCATATTTGAGCAGCTGCTAATGAATTAATACTCTTTCCGAGGGCACATTAAAGACAAGGAAGTATTAAGGCGGCATTTGGAATGGGGTCCCCCTGCCCCCGACACAGAAAAAGGATTATGGCAACAGGAGGGTTCTCCGATTTTTAATGCATAGCTTTGTGTCACTTTCCCAGTTTGAGCCACTGGGATGATTTATTGGTCGGCAGCAGAGCCAGCAGAGACACTGTTCATGGCTCAGGGCAGGAATGTCTCAAGGACCACATCTCCATATGAGCCTATCCAGACCCTGAGATCATCCTTTGAGACCATTCTTCATGTGCCTCCTCCACAAGAGATCCAGAGGGTGGCAACGGGACCTTTTCTGCAGTGGCTCCCCATCTGTGGAAGGCTTTCCCCAGGAAGGCTCACCTGCAGACCCTCCGAGTGTCCCTATTTTCCGGGGACGTCCCTGATTTAGAGAAGCCGTCCCAGTTCCTGATTTGATCCTGAAATGTCCACTTTTCCTTTGTTGTTGTTGTTTGTTGTTTAGTCGTTTAGTCGTGTCCGACTCTTCGTGACCCCATGGACCAGAACATGCCAGGCACTCCTGTCTTCCACTGCCTCCCGCAGTTTGGTCAAACTCATGTTCGTAGTTTCGAGAACACTGTCCAGCCATCTCGTCCTCTGTCGTCCCCTTCTCCTTCTTTCCCAACATCAGGGTCTTTTCCAGGGAGTCTTCTCTTCTCATGAGGTAGCCAAAGTATTGAAGCCTCAGCTTCACAATCTGTCCTTCCAGTGAGCACTCAGGGCTGATTTCCTTCAGAATGGAGAGGTTTGATCTTCTTGCAGTCCATGGGACTCTCAAGAGTCTCCTCCAGCACCATAATTCAAAAGATAAATTCTTCAGCGATCAGCCTTCTTTATGGTCCAGCTCTCTCTTCCATACATCAGGAGCCACTTTTACTTAGGACGTCCCTATTTTCATCGGAGAAATGTTGGAGGGTATGGAGTTATCCAACCCTTGAGCTGTCTGAAGGCAATCCTGTATGGGGATTTTAAAAAAAAAGTTTTATTATGTTTTTATATATGTTGGAAGCTGCCCAGAGTGGCTGGGGCAACCGAGTATGATGTGTGGGGTATAA